CTAAATTGGCCCACTTTTTAGTGTAAAAAGTAGGCTATACTATTAAGTATATTTTAAGTGTAACAGTAGAAAACTTTGAGTACACAACTAGTTTACAACTAAGTTTTTCGTTTGTACTGCAACTATACTACAATTGAACTTATAAGTATACGGATAGTTTAATAGTCAAATACTTGTAGCACATTTTTTAGTATATGAAAGTACAATTTGAAGTATACTCTCAGTGACCTACTAGTTTAATAGTTTATACTGCAAGTATACTTGTAAGTTTTCTTTTAGTGAACAAAACATCATAGTTATTGTTTACTATTTGTATATTATTTTATTTGCATTTTAAGTAGGCTATACTACTACTACTGTTCCTATTTAGGTATTCATTTTTTAAAATACTTAAAATATACCTTTGTCTGTATTTGAATTGTTTCCATTTAAAAAATATTTTATTGTAGCTTCACACAAGCCTACACAAAAATTCATAATAAGAAACATATGTTTTCTTTATAAATCAATATTTTTATAAGTCAGTAGCCTATGTAAAACTACATAAAATAATAATAATAATAGGCAACTCAATCATAAGAGCAAACACAACTACAAGCCAAGAATACTTAAAAGTATATAATTTTAAGTATATCTTGATCAAAATATTGAGCTCAAGCACAGGTCAAATATCCTTACCTTTCTGACAGCAAGTGAAGTATCCTTAAGTGCAATTTCTGAGAAATACATAAAAAGTAGACTGAAAGTATACTTTCTTATTTTTAGTTTTAAAAAAGCACAATGCGCTCACTGCTGCAAATGACCTAAACAGTGACGTCAACTCCAAATCTATAGGTCTATAGCTAACTTGAATAAACTTTTCGTAAGTGAAGTGACACTAACATATCTAGCGTGATCAATAAAGCTTCCAGCTCCTTTGAGCATTCTCATGCACATCAATTTAGTGTCAAACTTATTGCTGTACGGTTCATCATTTTGAAGAAGAAAGTAAGAGGCAAAAGTGAGGAAAATTCCACCGTTTTTTATTAGCAGACACTGCAACATCAGAGAGTACATAACAACCTGCGGACTTCAATAAATGTCGGAATCACATAGTAAAAAAATTACAATTTGCATGAAAACATTATGATCTTTAATAAGCTGCCATTTTTAATTATCAGTTTGTTTTTGGGCCCATCAGGGGTCCGTTTCAATAAGGAGGTTCAACCAACTCTGAGTCAAAACGTGAACTCTTGAGTTGATTTACCCTGAGATGGGAATCCCAGAGTTCATTTCAGGGTTAACATACTCAGAGTTTTCACTAAACCTCCTTTCTGAAACGGGCCTCAGCTCTCTGTTTTTTTTTTTCTGTTTAATTATTATTCCACTAATGAATAATACATCAAAATCTAGGGCAAATGGATAAACAGCGAGGAAAGAATGCATGAGGTTAAAAAGTCAATTTCCCCCAGCCATGTAGAATCGCTTGGAAAAACTTAAAAACAAGTGTGAGGAAGAAGAATGGAGAGCATGTGGAAACAATTTAAGAAAACACTCACTGCATTCTCGCAGAAACAATCACTGCAAATCTACAAGGTGCTCAGTATTTAGCTTCAGTTTGTGCTAAAGATTTGTACTGATACTTATAAAACCATTGATAAAAATATTTCTTTGTTAACAATATGCCTTGGAGGTTGGACAATGACACAACACTTAGGAGTGACGAGGAGTTGCAACGAGAGTGTTGGCGGGATGCAATAGTGCTACTCGGACTTTGCTTCCTTTGTTTCTTTGTGAGTCTTTGCGACCTGAGGATGGGTTGAGAAAAATAAAGGGAGAATGATGAATTTTGCATGTCATAGGATAGCCATAACATATCCCAGAGTAACAGCATTTCATTTCATTACACAGAATCAAAAGGCTCATTAAAAAAGTGCTGTGACTATACAGTTCTGTGTTGAATGTGTGATATGCAGCAGTGAAATTATAACACCGCCCTGACCTTCGCATCTCCATTCTCAGAGTGGTTTTCCTCGTTGGCTGCAGACTCTGAGGACTCCTTGGCCTTCATCTTGGTCTTTTTGTCCTCCTTTTTGACATTGACTGCTTTGTCTTTCTACAGGGGAAGTAAATGATTGGCAGCACATTGTTTTAACTGAATCCATAAACAGAACTTATCCACTGAACATTTGCACGCGTGTAAACTCGCTCGCATACATTAACAGTACTTTGTTAATGTACTGAAACATTGTTCTAATGTTACAGTTTTATTGTTGGTTTGTTAGGTTTCTGTTTCTATATACCTTAGCTGTCCTTTTTGATTTGGGTTCAGCCATCACAGGATCTGGTCTCTATAAATAAAAAAAATAAAAAAAATGAAAAAACAGCTAAGAAGTGCTCATGTATAAAAAAGAAAACAGGCACATTCACCATATTTGAGGCATTGTTCAAACTGAAATTATAAAACAAAGTTTGAAACAAAACTGTTGTAAAATGTATTTTTTTTAAACATTTTACATGTAACACTTTAAATAGAACATATTTAACAAATTAAACTGTTAAATATTTTACATGAAGCCATATTCCATTATTGAGTAAGTACAATAATAAAATCACTGTTAAAAATGTGTCCTTGCCTTAACATGATTCCCTACGGCAAGATATTTAAGTTTAGAGTCATATATTGATTAATGATTTATATATTTGTATTGGATTTGGCAGGAAATTTTACATTTACATCATCCACAAAACCGAGAAAAGAAGGTCTGGCTACTATGGTGGCAGTTAAAGTATGCTACTTATTTGCTCAAATTACATAATGTTTAGATATATGCCTTTTTTACGTGTTTTATTGTATTGCCATTGGTGGAGAATGACAAATCTGTTCTGATATGGTGATAGATAGACAACTAGTATATCAGCAAATGACCACAGAGAGGTCAAAACTCAGTAGTGCACCTTTAACCAGTCTAGTTGGCATTTTTAAGCATAAACATATCACACACAAACAACATCTGATAATGGCAACATACGTACTGTCGATAACCGTGCAGATCTCCTCTTAGGCTGAAAAGAGTACAAAGATAATATTCATACAACTATTAATAAAGGAACACCTTTCAATAAACAATCATATAAAACAAGTGGCATAAAAAGTTTAAATATACAAAAATTAATTCACCTCATCCTTTGCAACACCGTCTGCTCTCTGTGGATGACAAAAAAACAAAAACATGAGCTCAACAAAACCTTTATGTAGAATTAAATGAAAATAATACTACTAATAATATATATTTAAAAAAAAACTTACATTACTTTTATTATAATTTTACATTTGCACACATCCAAATGTAAGACCAATAATAAACATATCCAGTGGCCAGTATAAGTAAACTCATTAGTTCAGCTCAACCATCCCTTATTAATAGCACAACCAACCCCTATATGTGAGCTGCGAGAGGAGGAGCTGACGACAGCGCCATCTTTCGGTACTTTAGCGCCATTACAGCCATCTGCTCACAAGAACAAAGACTATAAAATAATAACACTGTTATTGTCCATTTCAGTGCGTTCTCAATCTTTAGTAGCTATTGCACAAGTCATTTTTAGTAGAAGTGGATGTTTCGTGATGGGTTTTTGTAAGAGTTTCTTCTTACACAGCATGGCTGACCCCACAGGAAACCAGAAAAACATAGCCTTCTTCAGCACGAAATCGCAGATACTGTGTAAAATGTAGATATATTCTGTGCGGATTTCAGTGTTGAATATTTTAAAAATATGCATATAAAGATATATATTTAGCAAAACAAAGAATAAATAAACCACATAAATATGGCTATATCGATGCCGAACAATGCCTCCATGATGTAGGTGTGTGTGTGTGTGTGCGCGCGCGAACGAACGAACAAAAGGATAACGTTACGTACCTTTCTTTTAGGCATGTTGGATTCCTAAAGAGATTCAGTAAAACACAAGGAAAACTGCTGCTTTAGAGGAGAACTCGGCATATACGTGCTCAGCTCAGTACACTTAACACAATAGTAAACAGAGAAACATTAGCGAGGGACTGAATGGGATAAGGGGGAGCTTAGGCGGGACTGATGTGTAGTTAAACCAATCAGCGCTGAGAGCCAAACATGACAAAGATCCGAGCCGGTATCTCTGAAAAATGTCGACAGCAAGAAAGAAAGACTGAGAATATATGCATTACTCCAAGACTCAAATGTGCCTCTTCATTAGTTTACTTTTTAACGAGGAAAACGACCCTTGTGCTTTTGCAATTTCATAGCAGCTTTGCCATTTAGGTATAGTTCAAAATGGCGCCCTGGAATTGTGTCGGGTTAGAGTTACTTTCTCAAGCCTGCAGATGACAAATTTGCTACAAGCAAAAAAAAAAAAAAAAAAAAAAAAAAAACAGGGAGAGAGAGAGATAGAGAAAACTGCGTTCGCGCTTACTTAGTGTAGACAGTCAGTTTAGTTGGTTAACAGGGCGTTAGTTTGTTCTGTCGCACTGTGATAAAATAGCATGTTAAAACTGCGAAGCAACCAAACAGAACTTTTATTCGGTGGAAATTGCTGCACAGTTCATACGTGTCACCGCTACTTATTTTGCAGCATATACATGAACTCAGAATAATGTGTTTTTTCCACTAAACACCAGTATGATAGAACTCTTTAAATGTGTTCTCGATAACATGATTCATATAACATAAGCAGAGGTAACGCTCTGAAATTCTTCAAACCGCACACAGGCAGCACGGCGATGGCTTTGTTGTTTAGTCATTCATGGCTGCTATAACTTTCTCACATTCAGTGTTCGTTTCTCAGCTGAACATTTCACACCAGTTTTCATTTGTATACTCCATGGAAAACACATTCTAGTTCTTAAATCACTGATAAAGATTACTGATAAAGCAGAACGAGCTCTGCAAGCCATGTTTTGCTGTAGGCTAGAGGCGGAGAACGAGGAGGGGTAAAAGAAAGAGAGAAGGGCAATAATGAGCACACAGCACAGATCTTAACCGGAATGAACAGATTCTCATCGAGACAGACGGGAGTGAATGTGGATTTTTACACCGCTGTTGTGCCGTTAACCTTCCCCCGGAGATTGTTGTTTGCATCCTGTTAGATTTAAGGAATTTGTGATTATGGTGATTAAAGTTTACATCGCATCATCCTCCGGATCAACATCGGTAAGAACTTAAGACACAAGTTTAATTGAGAACATGCGACATTACAAATTTTTACCACAACAAATACGCCAAAATACAACACCAATTGTTACCACAGTGAAGTCAATAAATTAATGAGGGATCAAACAGTGTAAGAAAAGTCCACAATCTTTGTCCTTTTTTTTCTTCTTTTTTTTCTTCTTTTTTATGATGTCGTTGATGACGCATTCAATTTGTTTTACATAGTGACAATAACGAGTGTGACACGAATAATACATTTGGGTGGAAATGATGTTTACCACGAAAATTATTCTATATTATTTTATTAAGTAGGCTATAGCTTATTATTATTATTATTATTGTTATTATTAGTCAGACTGAAAACATGTTTATTGATTACTGAAACATCAACATAAATACTGCTCTAAACTATTATTTTGTTTTCAAGCAAGTTCAACAGAGAAAAACACAACAGTCTAAATATGGTGTTGAAGTTGATAGTTAACCACTTCCTTATTAGTGTGCTGGTAATAATCACTCCTGCTCGACTACTCAAAATACAATGTGCATAACTAGACTAGAGACTGGACCCAATGACCCTGCCAGTTTCAATGAGTATGTTTTATTTGCATCTTAACTGTCGAAAAGTTTTAAATAACAGTATTCACACTGTGAAATGAGCACGCTAGAGGGGGCTATTCCTCCAGCAGGTGATTTGGCTGAAGCACTTCCTAATTTGGTGAGTTAGCGAAAACTTGTGCTCTAGATACGCTAAGTTATGTAACATTGGAATGACAGTGACACATCTCATGGTCTCGACTAGCTCATGCTCCAGCCACCAGTGGCATGTGGTTTTTTTCTTAAATGAGGAGGCAAATGCCACTGTTTTTTTTTTCTTCAGTCCATTGCCAAATAATATACCAATTTATTTTGATGTTGACACAGGTTAAGTGTTACATTTATCTTAGACTAACAGCAAGCAGTTTGTGTAAATCCACTTTCAGAGAAGCTCAGGTTCTGAGTATTTCTTTTTTCCCAACATTAATTTCCCACATGTCAAGTACAATTATGTGGTTTTGTTTCATAAAACAGTGTATACTTTTTTCTTGATTTACCCTGAAAGAATGGAAGGGAAATGTTACAACACGCCCCATAGTGGGAACATTGTAACATGGCCATATGCCAGCATAAAATGTTATCCGATCTTATATATATATATATATATATATATATATATATATATAAAAAGACAAACTAAAATAATCTCTCAATAAAATACAATTATAAACTTTTTCATATAAAATAATGGCATTGTTTTAATAATGAAAATAAACTCATTTTTGAGTTTGACAACAAACGCACTGCAAAAAAACAGCTATACAGCATAGTTCAAATCAATGATAATGAACAATTTCTGAACATTGACTGTCAGTCTTTATTCATCTTTTTCTCATGGTTTCTCAATAGAATTCATAAAAGTATAGAATAGAATGGCATAGTTCTAATACCTGCACAATTGGGATTTAAACCTGGCTAGTGTCTTTTGCTAGTTAGCGAAGCATTAAAGAACTATAGATTTGTCTAATTTTAAATTAACACAAAACTATAGATGAAAAATTTACATAAGAGATTTACTTTTGCTATGGTTAAATAAATGTTCAGTGATATCTTTCAAAGATTTATGAATTTTGGCGCAATTTTTTCTCTCTATATAGTGTTGAAATGGCAGCTAGTAAATAAACTAAGTTTCGTCATGCTAGCATGTGTGGAAATATTTAAAACAAGTGTGTAACAACTAGCCCCACGTTAGGTTGTGGCCCGCTGACCCCTATACCACAATGTCATGATGTATTTTTAAAATCACCAAGGGAAGCTGAGTGCATTACTTTCAGATCATCAAAGTTAAAATAAGATATGAAAGACAGCGATGATACTGTATTTGATTCCAATCATCAGCTCATAAGTAGGGATTCCATGACCTGATATGTATGGGTCAGATAAGGGAGACATCCAAAATGTGTACTGTTGGTGTGTTTCCTGGGACAGGGTTGGAAAACAATGGTTGACATTCAGGCTGATTTGTGAAGCGTAATAAGCAAATCATATTGCAATAGAAACTATCATGGGACTTAAAGGTGCAATAGGTGGTCTGGAAAATACTAACTTTTGCCTGGTACCATTGAAAGCATACAATCCCACCCTCCCTGCAAATCACCGTCCAAAGCATGCCTGCTCCAAAATACATGAATGCGCACAGACCAGAAGCAACACGACCAGAGACAACGTTATCGGATTACATCATTTGTCATTCACCGATGAGAAAACTTTACAGTTTGAGTGAAGGAAGAAACAGAAGCGTTTGATTGCATACATAAGTATGTGATTGTTAAATTACTCCAGTTCAGAGGTTGACCTGTGGACATAAAGTAAAGAATGCTCTGTATTTCAGCTTTATTCATATGTGATATCAGGACATAGTGGCAACACAGTCAAATCTCACTGAATTATCTGCATAGGGCAAAGTACATAGAACTGTACTCTCAAACCTGAAATGTAGATACTTGCCACTTGTTGTCGGTTCAGATTCAGAAGGAAAGTTAGGTTGTTTGCCTGCCATTCTCACTCTGTCTGCACAGCGTTCGTGAAACACGCTGATGGCGAATGATGTCTGCAGTGGTTCGCAAACACACGTTGACTGACAAGAAACACATGGTATCATTTCATTCGGCCCTTGGGGTGGTGTTGATTGTCCGAAATGCGTATAGAATCACGTCAATTCATTGGCTCAATTCAGCGGTGCTCATCACTCACTCTTAATACTGTGAACGCGTCGTCTGCTCCTCAGATTTTCTTCTTCTTCAGAAGTGGTTTATCTGGCCCGTGCTAGTTAAGTGATTTTGTTTTGGATATTCTCTTTTTGTGCAACCGCATTTAGTGGAACTTGCTTCGTTCTCCTCTCGGTGAAGCACAATGGAGCTGCGTCATTGCCAGCCACCGTCTTCTCATTTCATTGCAAGAGACGACCCGCATGATGTGTGAAATGCATGCACGGGAGGCTATTTATGGAAGTTTTGCCAGAATTTCAAGCTTAAAACATTCCAAGCTAGACTATGCTTGCTTTGAGAAGGATTCATCCGCTCTTACCCGTCGCTCTGTGACAAATGAAGCAGCTGAGGCCCTTCATGAATCCGAGGCCTGGGGTTCGGCTTCTGATTTGAAGGTTTTTGAGCTCCCTAGCGACCAGAAAGGAAGCTGCCATTTTCAGCGATCTTCATTACGATATCTCAAGACCCTGGAAGCAGCCTTTGTCCGCTCATTTGACTAACGCGGCAACCCAACCAGGCTGGTTCTGTGGATCAGGGCTATACTTGCATTCCAGCAGTTGAGAACATGCCAGCCACTCACCTTCACAGATGCTCTTCGAATCAAAATCTGTTAAACCCGCCGCCATGCACGCTTCAAGATACAGAGTTAAGTGACCAACACCATCTTCCTGTATTGAGGGACGGAGACGCTTCGGGCTATCTCCCCTCAATACCTCTTCTCGCTCGAGCTGCTTCACCCCCGATCTGGCTTTCTCCCCGAGTCGGATGCTCCAACCTCTACACCAGACCCCAAAATGAGGAAAACCTCCTCATTAGTCCTCATGGGCCTCTCTTCGCTGTCAGAGGATGCCTTAGGTCCTCCTCCAGTAACTTTAGCTTTCTTCCCACCAACTCTCGCTGGCAGCCACACAGAAAGTCTGGCGGCCGAGCTCCTACTAGAGCCCATTCCTATGCAACGCTTGTCTTATCACCTGGCAGCATGGAGGCTTCTGCCAGGTGTGTCGCGCTGGGTTCTCTACACGATTCAATTCGGATACACCCTCCATTTCCATCGGCATCCTTCTTGCTTCGACCGGGTTCTTCCCACTGTTACGAACAGCATCCTCGAGGCTTCTGGTTTTCAGCAGGAAGTGACATCGATCCTCCTGAAGGGAGCGATAGAGGAGGTTCCTCCTTCTGACTTGAACCGTGGCTTTTTCAGCCACTACTTCCTCGTCCCAAAGAAGGAAGGGGTCTGCGCCCTATATTGGACCCATGTCATCCAATTCTTCCCTCTACAAAGGAAAATTCAAGATGCTGACGTTAAAAACTCTCCTGGGGCAGATCTGAACAGGGGACTGGTTTGTTACCGTGGACCTGAAGTTGTACCAATTTCAGGTCCTTTCATTTGGTCTGGCTTTTACAGACGTTCTCCAAGTGCATGGATGCAGCCATGGTGCCGTCCAGTCTCGTCATCTCCTCGTCATACGCCTGGGTCTATTGCTCTACTGGCTCCATCGCTAGTGGTTGGACCCCTGTATCCACCCTGACTCCTCCCACTATCAGTTCCACTGTGGTGTTTCTTCTCTATCTGGGTTCCCACCTGGTTCCTTCTGCCTTAATCGCCTCCCTGGCTTCTCCCTCCGTCAACTCGTCCGTGGTGTCTCTATCTGTCGGCTCCTCCTAGTTTCCACCTGTCTCTGAGTCCTCATCCTCCTCCTGAGCCCACACCCTCCCTCCCCTTTTGGACTATATTGTTACAGTGTGAGGACGTGCCTTTCATGGAGGGCGGTGTAATGTCAGGGTCATGTTCAGTTCTGTTTAATTTCATTGTTTTGGTTTCATTTTCTCTGTTCTTGTTTTTTCTGTGTTCCTGTTCATTGCTAGTTTCTATAGTTATTCATTAGTTCCACACCTGTTCTTAGTTCTGTTCTCAAGAATTATTTTTGTTCTGTATTTATAGCTGTTCAGTGTTCCGTCTCGTTTATGTTAATGTGGTTGTGTTTTACTGTGATTATTCCTGCATGTTTTTTTTTGTTTATTAATAATGTGTTTTTTTTTCTCTTATTCTACTTGTCATTGTGCGCTTTATACAGCCACTCGTTACATATTTATTTTAGTAAATAAATAGAGTAAATATTTATTTCATGCCTTTAAATGACTAAAGCTTTTGAACACGAAGAGGTATTTTCACATAATTGGGTATACATATGTAAGAGCTTAGTCTGACTACACGTAATTTTATAGGGCTTGACCACAACAATCAAAAACATGAAAAAAATACTTTTGGACTTTTTTTTTTTTTTTAAATAAAACAAACAAAACTAGTGCAGGAAACCGTAACTGTTTTTGAGGACATCATAATTAGTGTCCATCAATTTTAATGTGTGATTTAATCTTCTATTTCCCTCAGATCAAGAAACAGCAACAGGATGTCATGGGCTTCTTGGCAGCCAATAAGATTGAGTTTGAGGAATGTGACATTGCAGCTGATGAAGACAACAGAAAATGGATGCGGGAAAATGTTCCAGATGATTTCCGACCAACCTCAGGGAACCCGCTACCTCCTCAGATCTTCAACGAAGAGAGATATTGTGGGGTGTGTACATATAAGAAATATCACATGTTGAGGTAGTACAGTAGCTCTCAACACTAGTCAAACATTATGGAATATTCTGGGTTAACATAACCTAAAGTCTTTGGACAGTATTTGTGACATGCTGTCAATAACCACAGAAAATATTTTCAACTCATCCATTTAAAAGCAAAAGCCCTTTAAAGGTGCACTATGCAGGGTTTTCAGTTTGCAAACAAGATTCAAACTTAGCCTCTCCTCTACATGGCCAGAAGCCACGCCCTCTCCCCAGATACCATATATCAGTTGCACACGCAGTTGGCTATATAACAACAAACAACTGAAAAATTCTTCATAATATCTTCTTTTGTATTTCCCAGTAGAAAGAACGTTTGGAACAACATGAGGCTAAATAAATTAACCAATCCTTTAACATCTTGTCACAGATTTAACCCAGAATATTCCTTTAAGAGAAAATAGTTTGCCCGAACTCAACAGATGCCTTTCACGGAGGTGATGAAGCTTTCAAAATGAATCTATTTCTGTAAGTTTCCGTGTTGCGCAGGACAGGTAATTTCCAAATATCAGAAGAACTTGTGTCTTGTGTTTTGACTGGTTTACTCAAGCACAGACTCTAAGAATTGAGCAATGCTTTCTTTTGCCATCTGCTCCCTAAATGATGCTTCTGTGCTCCAGAACTATGAGGCATTTTTCGATGCCCGTGAAGACAATGCTGTGTATGCGTTTCTTGGCTTGACTGCGCCCCCAGGTTCAAAGGTAGGTGTTCTGACAGACAAAAGGGTCCTTTATGCCCTCCTCATGTGTACGGTGTGTGTCCGCTCTTAGGAATGTTTGAGTGCTAATGTTTAGCCTCACGGACACAATGTCCCGTCTGATGGCCTTTGCTTCATAGACATGCTCTTCTCCTTCTACGGTTCTCACTGCTAACTTGAACTAATCCGAAGGCTTTCTGTGTTTCTTCACAGGAAGCAGAAGCCCTATCTAAGAAAAGCCAGATGTAATCTAGAGAACCCGCTCCAGCACAGCTGCTGAACTCCTGCACTTTCTGATGGTTTTCTTTTCTTTTTCTTATTGGTTCATATCTTTTTTCTTTCTTTTTTTTTTTTTTTTGCACCCATGAAATTATGTGATGAGATGGAATTATGTGTCCACTCAAGAGCCCTTTTCATTAATTCACTGTTAAATGGCTATTCAACTTGAAATTAATTTCTGTAGCCGTCCAAATAGACACGAGCAAAGATGTCAAGATTTGACAGTTAATTATTTCTCTAATGTTTATACAGGTTTATACTTAAATGTACTTGATTATTAATGTGGTCAAAGTTACATCCAATTAGTGCCCATATATTGCAATGATAGTTTGCTTTTTTGTGTGTTTAAATATATTCTTTTTAGTGTCTAGTATTTTTAGTAAAATGGATCTTTACTTTCTTTTTCAAATAATTGATTTATGTCTATATTTCATACTGCATGTTTTGCCTCAAGTATCCTCCATGTCTTAATAGAGTACTTTTTTCTATTTTTAAGTTTTAAAACTAGAGAGAAATATAACAGGCCTCCCACTTTGTAACACCGCTAGTCATTCTTTCAAATCCCGATCTCATGCTTTCATTACAGTTGTACATATTTTCTTTTTCAAGATCATTGTAACATGTAATAAGAACATTTGATATGAATGTATACTGTAGTGAATCTTTTTAGAGCTACAGTAATTTGGCAGTCTCTACCATGGTAAGGCTTTTGTTTACATTATTACATCATACTGTATTGTACAGTGCCTGTATTTTATATAACAGTTATCTGTCTCTCTCCATCTGTCTCTTTACCATCACTTTGGTACTAATTTCAGAATCTTGATGTCATTTTTCAGAGCTCTAGACATACAACCCAAAAGTCTTCAGCTGTAACAGGCTGTCCAGTGTTTACAACATTGCATTGTGCTTTCATTTATTTTTGGCATTGCACTTGCAGAATCATTTGTTCATTATCATGAAAATACCATAGAAAATTTTTTTCCCCCGATTGCTTACACAGTTCATTAAACAATTTTGCATTTTGACTGTCATGTCAAAAATCTAATATTTTAGTATTATTCTCTTTTGTCAGAATCAAACTTTGGCCTCAAATGACACACAAATCATAACAAATACACAGACTAATTCCTGCCCAGTTAACATCAGTGAGATTCATTCATAACAATGTGACAAAACCCTTTTATTGGGAATACAACCTAAATGAAAGAGTGCAGATACAGTTCATTACACTATACTGTAGATGAAAAGAAGAAAAGTTAAAATACCACAGAATATGAACCCGGTATGCAACACAATGCTGTGAATTACAGTACAATAAAATATTTTTTCGAATAAATAAATTCAGCATCCTCTACGCTTTTGGCAAAATTTCATTTCAGTATACACCATACTATAGCAGTAGCAGTTTCTTAATTTTCTGACAAAAGACTTTCTCTACCTCGTCGTCTCTCAGTTCTGCAAACATACAGGACGTAAAAAAATGTGTTAAACGTTTTGAGAAATGTGTCTGTTTTGAGAGCTGATTGAATGGTTTGGCAAATTGTGCCAACTGAAACAGTTATAGTGTGTTAGCAATCGAGAAAAACTCATTCAGATCACCCACACACAAGATACTGATAGTTTCACTGTGTAGTTGTTTGTACAATCATTAAATATTGTTGTACAATATATGTGATTGATATTTCATAATGGTTCTATAAATACATCACTGTAAAATAACTAGTAAAGAAAATATTACAGAATATTACAGTATTGATGAAAACAATCAAATCCCAACATAGGTTAACTTTCCTTGAATCAAATAAAAAGGTAAATTATTATTATTTTGTACTTAAAGGGATATTCCACCCAAAAATGAGAATTCTGTCATCATTTACTCACCCACAAGTTGTTGCAAACCTGTATGAGTTTCTTCCTTCTGATGAACATAAAGGAAGATATTTTGAAGAACGATTGAAGAAAAAAATACTATGGAAGTCAATGGTGCCCCACAACTGTTTGGTTCCAATCGTTCTTCAAAATATCTTCCTTTGTGTTCAGCAGAAGAAAGAAACTCATACAGATTTGCAACAACTTGAGGGTGAGTAAATGATGACAGAATTATCATTTTTGGGTGGAGTATCCCTTTAAGTACAATAAAACATTGTTTATGCATTGTTCCTCACATGGCTTACTTTTAAAAGCAAATTGATAACTAATCTGTTGGTTACATATACAGACATCTATTGAAGCTGTATCTACAGAAATCTATAGATGTACCAAATGATTGATTGACTGATTTATTAACCTTTAAGATCAGTTGGATTTAATGACTGACCAATGTATTAAACTGAACGGGGAAAAAAAGAGATGCAAATAAAATGTTTGTTAGAATTACCGTAGTATTATGAAAGGCAGTATACGAATGAAAAGTAATATAGATGAACCACTTATTATTTGCAGTGTAAAGGATACTTTGTGTTTTTACATAATTGACATAAATTTGCTCAAATCAAAGTGCAAATCTGATTATCTGTTGTTGTGTGATTGAGTTTTGAAAATGCACCACTTGCTTGTGAAAATAGTACCAAAGCGATAAAACATCAATGTCAGTGGAAAGAAATGAGAATGGTTTTGCTATTTTCAGTTTGTTTTCTTTATAATTGCAGACTAATGAATAGTACACAGAATACTGCATACAAATATAGTAAAAAAATATATATATGGTACAATACATAATATACAAAAATAAATGTTTTAAACTGTTAACGGATGACTGAATTTTATTACCTGGATGCAATCTCTTATACTCATTTTAACTGAAAGACCTGATGAAATACATTTTGATATTGACTCACTTCAGTTCCACTATATTCTACAGTCTGATAGCAAATGATAGAGAAACACAATTAAATGCAATGCATGCTTGGATGTGAATGTTTCATTTTACAGGGATTTGCTTTTAAAGACTTTTTAAAAGATATTTTTAAAGAAAGGCAAAAATACTCAAATTTCAGGGCTTCCTGTAGTTCAAAATTAAATAGAAAATTTGCAAGGTACTCAAAACAGTGTGAAAAATTATTGGAAGCAATTGCATAAACCGGCTAAACATTCATTTTTATTCTTGTGCACACACTAAAACACAGACGGTTCCATTAAGAATGTGAATGTGGAGAACTGCGCTTCAACTCTCGAACTGCAGAACTGCTCCTGATGTAAAACGCAGTGAAATGATTTGGCTGTTTGACGGTCTCGCATTACGCTTTGTGTTTAAATGTGAAGCATGAATTAAAATTATTTTAATAAATTTTATGTTGTTATTTTTTCTGCAGTTAACGTTTCTGAATTTATTTGACAACTTTTTGTGTAACTTTTGAGGACTGGCAGGATCATTTTAATAATTCATAATATTTTAACAGCCCAAGAGGCCTTTTTTGTTGTTGTTGCTAAAATTGCTCAATTAATCATTTTCAATCATTCATTTTCAAATCATCAATTCAAATCATTTTTGGCTGAGAAATTACGCCCCAAAACATACTTTCTTAGATTGTTAAGCATTAAATTGACATTATAAAAATGTTGCTTCAGAAAGAAATATTTTTTATTTGATTTAATTTTTTTATTTTTTTTAGATTTTGCTGTATTTGGCCGAGCGGTCGTTTGGGTGGCTCGCCAATGTATTCGATTTCTCTAATAGATAAAATAAGTAAGTTTGCCCAGAGTTTGATGGGCTTTAGTGTAGTGTAGCAGTCCTTCAGCAGCGATGTTAGCATGTCGTCCTTAAAAAATCTTAAACCAAAAAGTTCTGTGTGTGTGACAGAACTTTATACATGAAGACAAAAGGGCTACATACAATAGAAAACTGTTCTCCACAGGAGATTGATCTACACTGCAATCTACTCTGAGCAATGCTGTTTCTTTGTCATTCACACCCATCAGTTTCTATGGGCCATACGTCTGTATGGGCCGTTTGGTTCACATCTTTACAGACACAGATAGAGTTGATTGCATCTTGAGGCACAGTAACAATGTATATGCAGACACAGTAATTTAACTATTACCATAAGCCAATTATCACGCCAGAGTCACTGTCGAGCCCTCTTGAGGTGTCGTGGGCTAGTCGACGAAACACTGAGAACGGAAGGTGCCCACTTGAAGACCCTAGAGATGTCCCCTACTCGGCTCAATCCAGACGGTTGTCGTGCTGGTCCACTGGGGAGACCACACTGTAGTTGCACCCGTCGTGTGTGCTGACGCGCCAAGTACACTGCAGCCGTTAACGCCGGACAGAAGGGGAGTCACACCACCATATGGAAAGAAGCGTAAATGGGTGAAGCATAGTTTACTGTAAAGCTACGTCTTAGTGTTGCTTATCTTGGCGAAAGCCGAGTACAAATCAGCATGAAGTTTTAACATCTACTCTCGTGTAATGGAAATCATAATGTCCATGATATATATATTTTTTCTAATTTGTCATTTAGGTATATTTACACAGACTGTAATGCAGCTGGCATGAATGCATTTACACTGGAATTACAATTGCAGTAAAGCAGTGGTTCCCAACCCTGTCTGAGGTGTCGTTGCCATAACACATTGCTATGGGTTGCGTCAGCGTCACTTCCGTGTGTGTTGCTTTGGACTTGACTGAAGGGGTCAGTCTCCGTTTTCAAGTAGTCTGGTGGCAGGCGTAACCGTAGCAAAAGTTATCCGTAAAACATAGGTATTCCACAGTCTGTTCGAGAACCGATGCTCTCGAGCCAAATATGGTTCAGTGAGTAGGCTATATGGCTCGACGGCAGGAAAAAAATAAACTAAACCGTTTTTAATTATTTTTTTTAATAATCAAAGGTAGTGTGTAGATTCAATTAAAAATCCACATATTAGGCCTAAATATTTTAAAATATTACACAATTCATTGATGCCTGTTTGTCTTGTATAATACACCGACCATGCAATCATCATCTGGGATCACAAGTTCAAATTTCATTGGATATTTTTCCGGTCATTCTGGTGACACGAAAAGATTTTATTATTTTAACATTTTTGATAATTATGCAGCAATAGTATATATAATAGTATGTACAGTAATGGTCATGAATTTGGACACATTACTATTTTTGTGTTTTTTAAAGAAGTCTCTTGTGCACATCAAGCCTGCATTTATTTGATCAAAAA